TTTTTTTTTTTGAGGAAACAAAATTCTATTAAGCCAAACTGCCCAATTATGGAGGAAGTTCAGGACCTTCCATACATGCACTCTTAATTTTTTTTTTCATCCAAGAGCGTGAATTTCTGCTATTTTTGACCTTTGGAGATGTTTTTCCTCTGATGAAGGTCTCGTCCACTTAAGATAGAGAGGGTGGGATTTTGTGGTTAAGATTTCAGTGAAAAATGGTAGAGTTTTTTTTTTTTATAAATATTTTAATTAGTTTAGTGGTGGACGGTTTATGAATTTGTACATAATATAGGTGAAAAAAGTAGAAATGGGTAAAATATGAAATATATTTAATTTGGTGGTGAAATAAGATATTTTGAGAGTGAAAATAGCACGTCTCTTTAGAACTGGGTTTCAGGTTTGCCATCATTAATAATATATATTAAAGGGATTTGTTTATTAGGAAAAATTATACAACATCTAAACCTAGAATTATAAATATTGTTGGTCAGGGGGCCTTCTCACAAAAACCCACAATAAAATATAGGCCAGACAAGGCTCGAGAGGGCATCTATATTCAATCAATTAATTTTAGTTTTCTAACTGAACCATTTTTTTTTCTATAAGATTAATTGCTATGTAGCACGGAAATGGAAACACGGACACGGCGGGACAGGAAAATCGACAGGCGAAACTCCATTTTCCAAATATTTGGATACGTGAACGCGGGGGAAACTTGTAAAAAAAATATATGGGTATATTCATAATTTGTAAAAAATATTATAAAGGTATCGTCAAGTACATTATACATATTTGTATTTACAAATGGTATATAATTTACAAGTTCCAATCCGAATTATCATTACACAAGTTATATTCGCGACATGTAAATTTATTTTAGTATGGAATTAACATATAAAATAAATATTAGAATACCACTAGAAGTGAAAAAGAAACATAAGATATAAGATTTATTTAAGCGTATGTAATTCCTAATGTCTATTTGAAATGAATTTTGAACTTTTTTGGTGGAAACGCATTTATATTTTTTCACTATTACTAGAAACTTCCCCGAGACTTTTAAATATTTAAGGAAACGCCCCAAAACGTATCTGACAGGTGTCATGGAGTTTCGATTCCGAAATGTGGAAACATGTGTGGTAGACATGGCCACGGACAGGGTCTGACCCGAACCCGACCCGGAAAAGGACCCGCCCGACCACCTTGGACCCGAACCCCGCCCCGAGTTAGATGGGTCGGTTTCGGGTCTTATTTTTGTGGACCCGAGACCCAATGGGTTTACCCTACGAGGGGACCTGAGGACCTGAGTCCACTTGAATTAAATAATATTTTTAAAAAAAAAATTGAAATATTTAACGGCTATAAACCGGACCCAACCAGGTCCGAAATTTCAATTTTGTTTTGAATTTGCAACCGTCATTTTCTCGAGTCCACCCAAAACCGAGCCAGACCCGATCTGACAAAATTCAAACTTTTAATTTCTTTTTCAACAGTCAAGATCATATGTTTGAGATGGAAGGCCAGATATCGTCGATCGTTAGACCCGAGCCGGACGGATTTTCATTATCTTTTTTAATTATTATTATTTTTTTTCCTTTTTAACCTATCAATACCACACCCCCCCCCCCCCACCCACCCCCAACCCCCAAGAATAAATTACATTTTTGCAGCATGTAAATTTATTTTAGTTTGGAATTAGCATATAAAATAAATATTAGAATACCACTAGAAGTGAAAAAGAAACATAAGATTTCAGATTTATTTAAGCGTATGCGTGTTTATTTGGAATGAAGTTTGAATTTTTTTGGTGGAAACACATTTCTAGTTTTTCATTATTACTAGAAATGTCCACGAGACTTTAAATATTTAAGGAAATACCCCAAAACATTTCTGACAGGTGTCATGGAGTTCCGGTTCCGAAACGTGGAAACGCATGTGGTAGACATGGCGACGCACCGGGTCTGACCCGAACCCGACCCAAAAAAGAACCCGCCCCGCCCTGGCCCCGAACCGACCACCTTGGACCCGGACCCCACCCCGAGTTAGATGGGTCGGTTTCGGGTCTTATTTTTGTGGACCCGAGTGCCAACGGGTCCACCCGGCGGGGGGACCTGAGGACCCGGACCCGGACCCGACGACCCGTCCTGTCCACCCGAGTTAAATAATATTTAAAAAAAAATTGAAATATTTAACGGCTATAAACCGAAACCAACCCGGTCCGAAATTTCATTTTTTTTTTTAAATTTGCAACGGCCATTTTCTCTGGTTCACCCAAAACGGAGCCAGATCTGGTCTGACAAAATTCAAACTTTAAAAAAAAATCAACGGTCAAGATCATCTGTTTGTGATGGAAGACCAGATATCGTCGACCTTTAGACCCGAGCCAGACGAATTTTCATTATTTTTTTAATTATTATTATTTTTTTGTAATTATTATTTTTCTTTCCCTTTTTTAACCTATAAATCCCCCCTTCCCCTCTCCATTTTTTCACCAATTCACGCACAATTCTCTCTACTCTCTCAATTCTCAAATCTCAAGTGTTTCTATTCCCGGTTAAATTTGCAAGCATTCTCGATTTTCTTTCCGGTTTTCAATTTTCATTTTTCTTTTCATTACTCTAAAAAAAATGTCTTCAAGTGATAATTGAGGAAAGGGAAAAGGCGTATTCCCTCCCGAATTGGAGTGGGATTGTTCCGATGATTGGCAACACAAATCAATTCCCGAACTCGAATCTCACACTATCAATTATCGGAATGTACTGCTTAATTCCCATGATGATGATGATGAGCCGACCGAGGTACCGCATCCTAGCCGACCGATTGGAGTTCCACCTAGGCCAAGGCGACTGAGGGCCCCTAGGCCATCTCCTACGCCATCTACTACGCCGTCTCAATCATCACTTGGTGGAGGATCCCAAATGAATGATACGGAAGCAAAGTCCGAAATGTTCCATATCCATTTTACTAGAACGGTTATGGAGGATGGGAGCATACAAGCGTTTTGCAATTATTGCAAGGTATTTATCTATTTTTTGCAAGCCTTTCATTTTTGTAATCATTTGTCCATTATATTTAGCAGATGTATTAGTAGTTTTTATTTTAATATATAGGGTGCACATAAATCATACGTGTGGAAAAAAGAGCAATGGGCACAAAAACTTTTGTAAGCATTTTTTGTTTAATATAAATTTTATTAAAATGCAAAGAAATCCTTGGCAGACAATCAAAAACACCCTAATGGGGTAAAAACGGAAAAGGAAAAACCTACCATAAGGAAAAGCAAATTACTAAAACGGAAAAGTGTTCCCATCGAAGGCTGAAACGCAAATTACGTATCAGATTTGGGTCGAATTGATCAACGAGAGCTTGTTTTTCTTCTACTTCTTCGCCGTTAGAGCGTGTATTCTCTGGTATACGAAAACAATCGTCTTCATTTTCTTGTTCATCAGAGCCCTCAAACAAAAATACGATTCAATTCTTCACAGGGAGGTACCGATTCTCAACTTTTTAAATTTTCAAAAATTGTAGAAAGAGAAGAATGGGCTAGAGTTATTGCAGTAGCATCATTTTCATTTAGTTTTGCTAACAATGATTGTCTTATAGATCTTTTTAAGAAAATGTATGGGTCTAAATGTTCTCGTCAACCAAAAACTAACTCGAACTACAAAAAACGTGCTTAGTCGCATGAAACTTGAATTAGTACTAGAATTTCTTATGATAAATAACAAAGTTTCTATTTATTCTGATATTTGGAGTGATCATTGGGGCCGTAATGACTATATGGGTGTGACATGTCATTGGATTAATCGTGCATGGAAACTTGAAAAAAAAAATTATTTTCCTATTATCAATAGTGGTCATACTGCATCTGAAATTGCACAAGCACTTCGCTTTCTGTTGGATTCATATTTATTAACAGAATTTTTTTTTCTTCATTTGATAATGCAAATGCCAATACGTCTTCTATTCCTCATCCTGTAAGCTGCATGTTAAGTCAGCATGTGGGGGAATGTTTTTTCATATTAGGTGCATATTGTTGTAAATAATATGGTTGTGGGGTTTCCTAACATAACCATCCAACTCCCCACTAGATCACTAACCTACCCATGTCTTCCCATTATGTGTTAGTGGTAGAGTAACTTATTTTGTAACTTCTCTTGTAAGTCCCGGTGGTTTTTCACCTATATAATGAAATTCTCCCTCCCCCATATTTACACCCCTTATTAATCTCTCTACGGATTTTTGTCTTTGCATTCTCTCTCTATCTTTTATTCTGTTGTCTTACTTTATTTTCCACAATCATCAAACCGAAGAGCAATACCATTAGGGCGATTTACAACACGTTATCAGCACGAATTGCTCGCGGTGATCGTGGAAGAACAATTATTCGTGGGGCTAGAATACTTGGAGAAATTGTGAGCGTGGTTCGTTTGTAAAACGGTAGAACGTATAATCTTCTCTATAGTATCTGAATTTTATCAATTTTCAAGTAAGCCTTAACCCCTTGAAATTCTTTATTATATGAATGCATGCTAGATAAATTCGAATTAGCATGAAAAGTTGTGTAGCATATTTATTTGATGTCATTGTATTTGTCTGAAAATCTCGGTTGAGGTTTCGAGTACCGTATGATTCATGAATAGATTGTTATATGAGTTGTACTTTGTTGGTGAATGAAGATAAGAAGTTTATGAATTAATCTGTTTGTCAAGATGAGTAATATGTAATATTCTTGTAGAATGATTTCACTATGAATATTTTGTGTATATGTTTGGACATTTAATGTTATTTAATCAGTGAATAAAATCATCCATGTGAATATTCTGTGTGCATGAAACAATCGGTTTGCCTAATAATCATGAACTGGTTGAAATATATGTGAATTCTATGCGAGTCATATATGCTATATGTGGTTGTATCACGTCATATGCAAATTTCATGACATAAAAGTAATACACAATAATTTGATTCGCATGTATTCTTTGTCTATGTACGATAGGATGGAACATTTGAGCAAACTTGATTTCACCCCTTTGAATGTATCTGGTGAGAACTACGTGAGTTGGACAATGGATGTTAAGATCCATCTCACTAGTAAGAAACTGAGGATGGCTATTGTTAAAGAAAATCTGCTTAATGAAGCCCAGAAGGCTGAAGCTATGATTCTGATTAGGAGGCACCTAGATGAGGTCCTCCGTTTGGAATACTCATCGATTGAGGATCCCCAAATACTAGTGGATGCCCTGGCTAGTCGATTTGATCATCAAAAGACAATCCTCTTGCCTGAAGCAAAAAACAAATGGATTCACTTACGGTTTACTTCAAAACCGTTAACGAGTATAACTCTGAAGTATGTCGCATCAAATCCACCCTGGAGTTTTGTGGAGAGAAACTAACTGATGCTGAGATTCTGGAGAAGACGTACTCTACATTCCCTGCCTCACATATGATACTGTCTCAACAGTACAGAGCTAAGAACTATACTCAATTTTCAGAGTTGGTCACAGTTCTACTCCTTGCCGAGAAGAACCTTGATCTTCTTTTGAAGAACAACCAGGCTCGACCAGTTGGTACTCGACCTTTGCCAGAAGCAAATTTGGTCAATCGAAATCCTCAACCTTTGCCAGAAGCAAATTTGGTCTACATAAACAACCGTGGAGGAGGCAGAGGCCGGGGGTTCAATCGTCGAGTGAGAGGACGGGGTAATAGGGACGGACATGTTCCTTATAATAGGCCACCTAATGGTCCCCCACAGTATGGGCAAAGGGGGAATATGCCAAGAGGAGGTAACAATGCTCGACCTAGAGGTGCGCAGCAGAATAGAGTCCCGAATCAGAATCAAAATCAGAATAGAGATACATGTCATAGGTGTGGTGGAACTGGGCATTGGTCACGCACCTGTCGTGCGAGGAACGTTATGGTTGGTGGTGTAAATAACAATGCACCACCGGAGACCAACTTGGTTGAGATAGATGTTCTCAATGAGGAGCCCATTGCTCGACTTCCAAATCTGGGCACATCTGACCCAATGACCCAGTTTGGAATATGATTGGAGTGTTATTTTATGAGCTTAGACATTATGTTCTTTTATGTTTCTAGTTTATCAGTTTTAAATTATGTTGTTTATTTGGTCATGCTTATGAACCAATTTCGTATTTGGATTATGTTTGTGCTTTATTTTCTGGACTATATTTTATGTGGCTATGTTGTAATTTAGTTTATATGTTACTCGATAGAGTTATCTTGTTTGGATTTTATTAAAGTATTTTCAATTGCGGAATCGATGATTAGATTTATTTATTTTCTAGACATGGCATGTGGGGATGAATGTCTGGCAGATAGTGCGACAACGCACACTATCCTTAGGGATAAGTCATATTTTGTTAGTTTCATGTCTAGGAAGACTTCTTTGACTACTATATCAGGCACATCTAGTATAATAGATGGTTATGGTAATGCCCATATTATGTTACCTCATGGCACAATTCTGATCATTAGAGAAGCTCTTTATTCTCCACATTCCAGTAGAACGCTGCTGAGTTTTAAAGATATTCGAGCTAATGGTTATCATGTTGAAACAATTGATGAAAAGGGGATCGAGTATATGTGCATCACCTCTAACGTGTACGGCCAGAAGCGTACCTTGGAAAAATTAGAGGGACTTTCGATAGGGTTATATAGGACCAAAATTCGAGTGCCAGAAGCACACCTTGTCGATTGCTCGAAGTCTAGTGATCCGAGCAAATATTTTCTATGGCATGACCGACTGGGACATCCGGGTCAAAGTGTGATGCGCCGAATTATTAACACATCTATTGGGCATCCACTAACGAATAAGGATCTTGTACACAATGATAAGATATGTGTACCATGTTCTATTGGATAACTTGATCCTACGCCAGCTTATGCACAAACTAGTAAAGATTCTCTTGGCTTCTTGGAACGAATCCAAGGAGATATATGTGGCCCCATCTCACCACCATGTGGACCTTTAAAATATTTTTTGGTGATGGTTGATGCTTCAACTAAGCGGTCACAGGTCGATTTGTTGTCTACAAGGAATGCTGTTTATGCTAAACTCCTCTCTCAAATAATAAGATTGAGAGCACACTATCCAGATTATCCCATTAAGTCTATTCGACTAGATAATGCTGCAGAGTTTACGTCGCGGTCTTTCGACGAATATTGCATGTCTTTAGGTATTGACATAGAACATCCTGTAGCACATGTTCATACCCAAAATGGCCTTGCAGAGGCATTTATTAAGAATTTACAGAGGATTGCATGAACTTTGGTAATGCGCACCAAACTTCCAATCTCTGCTTGGGGCTATGCAATATTGCACGCAGCTATGTTATTGCGATTGAGGCCCACTGCAACCCAACCATATTCTGCATTACAGTTGGTGTCCGGAAGTACACCAAACGTTTCTCATTTACGCACATTTGGGTGTGCAGTTTATATGCCGATTGCTCCGCCACAACGGACCAAGATGGGACCTCAACGTAGATTGGGCATTTATGTTGGTTATATATCACCATCTATAATACGATATTTAGAACCCTTGACAGGCGATCTCTTTACCGCTCGATTCGCGGACTGTCACTTTGATGAGACCGTCTTCCCGCCGTTAGGGGGAGGAAAGAACGTTCACACTAACGTTCCTGAAGAACGGTGTGAAGTCGTGTGGAATGACCCCACTGTGTCTCATCACGATCCCCCTACTTCAGTCAGAGAGTTTGAAGTAAGTACACTCATAGATCTACATAAAATAGCCAATAATATGCCAGACTCATTCTCTGACTTAGAAAAAGTGACGAGATCTCATATACCAGCTGCAAACGTGCCTGCAAGGATAGATGTCCCAGAAGGACAAAACGTGGGAAGGCCATCAGTCCCTGCTAGCCAATCATATCTCCCTGCCCAGAAGAGGGGGAGACCAATTGGATCAAAGGATTCTCATCCTCGGAAGCGGATGAATGCCCAACAGTTGAATGCGGTTAGCACTAGTAATAATGGGATCCCACCCGATCCATCTCATGAAATAGTTCCGGACTATGGATCCGTCCTGGAGACGAAATCGGGGGACGCCTCGATATTAGTATCCATTCCCGAGAATAGAGAAATCTCGGTTAGTTATTCATGCATGAATGAGGTGTGGCATCGGGATGAAATAATCATCAATGATGTGTTTGCTTACACAGTAGCTACTGAAATTGTATCGAGTGATGATATTGAGCCTCGATCAATTAATGAATGTAAACAGAGGGATGATTGGCCGAATTGGGAAAAAGCAATCCAGGATGAGTTTGACTCGTTGGTAAAAAGGGGAGTGTTTGGGCCGGTAGCTCCTACACCTCCTGGGGTGATACCCGTGGGATATAAATGGGTATTCATAAGGAAAAGAAATGAGAAAAACGAGATTATGAGATATAAGGCTCGTCTCGTAGCACAAGAATTTTCTCAGCGACCTGAGATTGACTTTGAGGAGACATATTCTCCTGTTATGGATGTCAGTTTGGTTGTATCCGAGGAACTGACTATGCAGCTTATGGATGTGGTCATAGCTTATCTATATGGGGGTCTAGATACGAGTATATATATGAAAGTTCCTGAAGGACTTCGATTACCCAAAGCAATTAGTTCCAGACCACGGAACACGATCTCAGTTAGGTTGAGACGATCACTTTATGCCTTGAAACAACCTGGAAGAATGTGGTATAATCGCCTAAGTGAATACTTGCTCGGAAGGGGATACGTGAACAATGATATTTGTCCTTGCGTGTTTATTAAGAAAACATGTTCTGGGTTTGCTGTTGTAGCAGTTTATGTTGATGATATGAATTTGATTGGGACTCCTGAAGAAGTCCGTGAAACAGCTAAACTCCTCAAACATGAGTTTGAGATGAAAGATCTCGGTAGGACTAATTTCTGTCTCGGACTTGAGATAGTACACCGTGCTGATGGAATTTTGGTCCATCAATTGAACTACATCCAGAAGATGTTAAGACGTTTTAATATGGATAAAGAGAAACCATCGAGCACGCCTATGGTAGTTCGATCATTGGATAGGTCGAAGGACCCGTTCCGTCCTGTGGAGGAGGACGAAGAAGTGTTAGCACCTGAAGTGCCGTACCTAAGTGCAATAGGCGCATTATTGTACTTAGCTCAATGTACTCGACCTGATATCGCATTTGCGGTAAATTTGCTAGCAAGGTTTAGCTCAGCACCAACACGCCGCCATTGGAATGGTGTAAATGACGTATTTTGTTACCTTAAGGGTTCAATAGACATGGGTTTGTTCTATCCCTATGCATCATTAAAGGATGCAAAGCTTGTGGGTTATGCTGACGCTGGGTATCTGTCAGACCCATACAAAGCTCGTTCCCAAACTGGATATGTGTTTACCATTGGGAACACAGCTGTGTCTTGGAGGTCTACAAAACAGACTTTAGTTGCCACCTCATCGAATCATGCAGAGATTTTAGCACGTCACGAGGCAGTGCATGAATGTACATGGCTTAGAGCCATGAATGGGCATATTCGAGATTCATATGGATTGGCTACCACAGAAGATCCTACGATCATATTCGAGGATAATGCAGCGTGCATTGAGCAAATGAAGACGGGCTTCATTAAAGGTGACAACACCAAGCATATAGCTCCAAATTTTTTCTTCAATCAGCAACAACAAGAGCTCAAACAAATAATGATCCAGCAGATCAGAAGTCAGGATAATTGCGCTAATTTACTTACTAAGTCATTACCTAAAGTCACTTTTGAAAAGCATGTTAAGGCTATTGGCCTTCGTAGATTATCTGAGCTCGCTCCCTTATAGACATCAGGGGGAGTTAACTTGAGGGGGAGTACCCTATAGGTACTCAGTATCCAGAAGATACCTAGATGCCCTGTTGTACTCTTTTTCCTTTTTGCGGGATTTATTTTCCCACAGGGTTTTTGGTTACCCGCTAAGGTTTTAACGAGGCAATATAGCTGATTGGAAAGATTGTGCGTTGTACTCTTTTTCCTAACCGAGGTTGTATTGTCCCACTGGGTTTTATTACGCAACATGAAATGCACAATAGTGGTTTTGATAGGAACCCCCAAGGGGGAGCGTTGTAAATAATATGGTTGTGGGGTTTCCTAAAATAACCACCCAACTCCCCACTAGATCACTAACCTACCCATGTCTTCCCATTATGTGTTAGTGGTAGAGTAACTTATTTTGTAACTTCTCTAGTAACTCCCGGTGGTTTTTCACCTATATAATGAAATTCTCCCTCCCCCATATTTACACCCCTTATTAATCTCTCTACGGATTTTTGTCTTTGCATTCTCTCTCTATCTTTTATTCTGTTGTCTTACTTTATTTTCCACAATCATCAAACCAAAGAGCAATACCATTAGGGCGATTTACAACACATATGTCATATTTTGAATTTATGTGTGCAAGATGGTTTACAAATGTTAGCAACGCATATTACTAAAGTTAGATCATGTATTCAATACATATGGCGACACTAAGTGCATCCAGTTAGATTTTACAGAGATACTCCAACTCGTTGGAACTCAATATATTGACTTTTAAAACAAAATTTTGCATATAGAGCATTAATATGTCAATTTTTTCACTCGGAATTTCCTTAGGCTGGAATTTATATTTTACCCTCTGAATGGGGGATACATGCTTGAAAATTTGTAATGTTTTAAGCATTTTTTTTTCCAAAAGTTTTATTTTATTACCCGGTACTTATTATCCTACGGCTCATTTAGTTGTTTATTAGTTATGCAATATTGCCGATGTTATTAACGTAGCTATGCAAATTGATATTTTAGTTTCGTGTCTGAATAAAATTAAGAAAAAAGTCTGCAAATATTATATGAATATTCCTGAGCTATGTTTTGTTGCTACAATTTTAGATCCTAGGCTTAGACTTGACTTGTTACCTGATAAGCTAAAAATATATAACAAATTTTTGTCTATAAATATATCATTGATTGTCCCCCCCCCCCCCCACCCCACCCAAACATCCAATTCTTAACGTACCT